GGGAGCCATGACGTAACAGGGCGCGGCCTGCGAGGGAAGGGCGGGGCTACAGGCTGAGCACTCCCCAAAGGGGCGGGGCTAGAGCCGGAACGTGGGGGGCGGGGCTTGGGAAAGGAGACACAAAGCCCTACTGCAAAATTCTATGCGCAACGTCTAGGGTATCCTTGGCTGCGAGCTACTTAGCTCGCCGTGGCACTGTAAAGCGCATCTTCGGCCTTACCTACAAGGAAACCCCTAGAAGAACATGATCTGCGACGCCATCACGTACACCAAGCACACTGAATGCAAGACCATGATCATTGTGGACATGGTCTATGTGCCAAAGCGCCAGGCCCATGCCTTGTAGTTTTGGTGGCTGAACTCTCAGTATCAAAACTCTCACACTGGCAGAGAGTGGCTGCTGAAAGGGAGCGAAGTGGGTATGACCAGAGTTTTCCCCCCTGTTCTTCTCACTTGCAGCCTCCAGGATTTAAGGGCTAGGAAGTTCTGATTCAGAGGCTATATCCCTGGATCCCATGCCCAATAACTATTAATGCACCTTTCCTCCAGGAATTTGTCCAATCCCTTTTTAAATCACAACATCTAGAGGCAATGAGTACCACACTTTAATAACATGCTGTGTGAAAAAACTTCCTTGTGTTAGTTTTAAACTTAGAACCTACTAATTTAATGACTTGTATTGTGAGAAAGTAAATAACAAATCTGTATTTACTTTCTCTTTGGTATTTAGTATTTTGTAAATCCTTACTGCGTACCCCCTTAAGCGTCTCTTTGCTGAACCAAGTAGGCCTAGCCTCTTTAGCCTCTCATATGGAGGCCCCTCCACACCGCTAATCATCTTTGTTGTCCTTTTCTGTACCTTCTTTAGTTCTTCTATATCCTTTTTTGAAGTGTAGGGACCAGAACTGGGCACTGTATTCAAAGTATGGACACACCTCAGATTTATAAGAGAGCAAAATGGTAGTTTCTGTTTTGTTTTGTTTACAAAAGCATAAGAAAAGTAGCGGGTTATTTATTGGAGAAGTTAGTACACCAAATGCTAAGCCCTTTTTATCCAAAAGCAGACTGGGTAAAGATGCAAGTGTTCATTTTTGTCTTTTAAAATGACCAAAATACTTTAAGACAGATGACACATTTGCTTCAATACTTCAGGGGGGAAATATACAAACAAGTACTGGAGTGCTGTACACAGAAACACTAAAAAAAATAAAGATCATATGAAGATAATTTATTTTCTCTGTTCTAGGACAAGACTCTCCTCCCCTCTGCTTTAACATGGGGGTGGGGAGGGGAAGCCACTCATCTTAGAATCAAGTAGTAAGGGGGGCAGGGGAACAGGTGCTGTGACTCTGGCTCCAGCCCATACCTGGGGTCAGGGCCATAACAGCTGCTTACCTCCCCCCAACCTCTGCATCCCATCTCTTCCCCCAGACCCTTACACTTGCGCCATCCCAACAGACTCCGTCCACACTGCAGCCTGGGGCACAACCCCAGCTGGCTCCCTCACAGCAGTGCAGGGCCCACAGTTGCTACAGGGGCTGATCTGGGGCTGTGCTCCATGCCCCCACTAGAACAAGGACACCATCTGCCAGGGTGGAGTAAGGGGAAGGGGTGGGGGTAGGGATCAGAGACCATGGGGAGGGGCAGGAAGGGGAGCGGAGCAGGAAGTGAGGCCACAGGCTGTGGGGCAGGGGAGAAGGGGGGGAGGCATGAGCAGGGGGGCAAGCTGCTTGAATTCCCCAAACCATCTGCCCTCCCCAAAACCTACCCCCACCCCACAGCAATGGCTGGGGGGAAGGGATGACCCTTCAATAATTAGATTCTATACATGGAAAATTATAACATTTATAAAGTTTCCATGTATAGAATCTAATTATTGCAGGGATTGTTGTAAATTCCAGGATGTCTTAGATTTGAGTAAATACAGTATATAGAAAATCAGTAACTGAGATCTGCAAAACTTATAAAATGACAGAATGAAGACAGGTAATACCACTCATTACAAGGTTTTTACTAGTAGAAAGATTTAGAACAAATAGTACACTGCATTTTTGTATTTTACTGTGATTCGACAAAAAGTCACTCAGAATCACATTTCCGTTTTAAAAGCAAAAATTTGCCCTCCCCACTAAAACAACTACGCCTCCAAATCTGTTACTTATTATATTTAGTTAAATATATTACCCTTATTCAAAATGTTATTTACTAGATTATTTTTATTCAAGCATAGGATGAAGTACAAGTATAAAGACATCCAAATTGCGTAGGCAATTAAAACACTGAAAAAGTGTATAGCTAATTTAGAGCCAGATTTGATAATACAATGGTGTCATAAGCTCTGGCCCATGGGGGCTCCTGGAAGGGCCAAGAATTCCAGCTGCAAGCCTCGTCCCTGAATTCTGATGTATAGAACTCTATTAGGGATGCATCTCAGCATCACAGGGGCAGTTGACGGTTGCATTAACCCCCTGGCTCCCTGACACTGCTCAACCCACCACTACTCAAGGTTGGTTTGGATTCAGCCCACAAGGCCCCCTGCAGTCCAGATCCAGCCCAAGGGACCAAGGGAGTCTGACATCCCCATTACAGAAGTTTCACTTAATTTTCTATACTACCTGCTTTTTCTTCAAGGTTGGCTATATTTTGGCAAAGAGAATATTAACAGGTTGATCATCATTTAGAAGATAAAAATGAGTACAACTTTTAAAATGAGTTTAAAATATAGGTAGGATTTTTGGCAAAAACCAAAAAAACAGGGCTACACTGTAATCAGTCATGGCCTATGAAAAACACTGGCCACATAAAAGCTTTCTACAGTTAGTATTTTATAGATCAACAGATTTGGGAGGTCCTCTAAGAAATACCTGCATCATAGTGGAAGCAAGATGCTGCTTTACCACCCTCAGCACAACAGCTAGATTACTTTCCATCCTGGAGCAAAGGGGTAACAGAGGGAATTGCAAGTTTCCTTCCTGATATCTCTTATGGTCAAAAAGCTATGAACAGCACTTTACTCGGGTCAAACTAATGTAATAGTTTAGTCCAGATGTCAGCATCCCCTAGCCCAGTGGTGCCTAACCTTTTTCCCAGGCAGGCTGGATGGGCTGCATTTGGCCTGCTGGCTGGAAGTTAAGTACTCCTGCTCTAGCCCATGGGTGAATCCAGCCCATGAGGAGCTCTGACCCAGCCCAGGGCAGCATGCTGCTGTTCTCTATAGCACCTCTCTACAACCCTTCTTGCTGTTCTCTCATGTCTGTGCTTACCTGGCTCCACTGCAATGAAGGTATCTGAAGCCAGGGTAAGTGCAGGCAGCTTGACCTAAGAGGGGTTGGGGAGAGGGATGGGAATATTTGCAGCCACAGTAGGCTGAGGGGACCAAATGTTTGCCACCCTTGGTTAGTCCATTAAGCAATTTTGTTCTACACCAAGGATTTAACCTCTGCTTTGACGAGCTGCATAATAATGCCCGAATCATTAGGCTGGAGAAGCAACACTTAGATTGTATTTCCAGTATTTCTATTAGTTCATTTGGCTTCTACTCAAGTGTTTATTATATAAAAGCTAAACATATCTGAAATTTTAACCAATAAACTTTCAGAAAAGAGCCACATTTTTCTCAAGTTGTAGAACAATTGCCTTTAAAGCTGGATCTTCTGCCCAGTTGACTCTGCTTCCAATGATGATACTCTGCAATAAGACATAATTAGTTAGTTTTCTGATTTTAGTTTAAAAAGGTATCTAGAATATTAAAATGCTAGTTTAGTTCTAACTTATTAAGAGGACGCTAAGTTGCTAAGGTTTTTTGTTTGTTTGGGTTAACTTCAGAGTATTTAAAATGGTCTAGCTGACAAAGAATACCAAATCTTAATAGCTCAAACTACAGAAATTTATGTTGTTTCAAAGTTATGGGTTACCTGAAATATATTTTGAATTAATGTAGTCATTTCTGTTTCTTTTTGCAAGTTCCTGCGTATCCTCTTTAGCATTTCTCCCACTTCAATACATTCTAGTTCCTCTTTTTGTTTTTTCTTCATGGTGTGAATCTGTAATAGTTTTTTTTCTCCAGCTTGTTTTAGTGCTATTTGATTCAGAGGGTGAAAAAAAACAAAACAAACCCCAAACTTAAATGACACATTACTCAATATTCTTTCACTATTTTATGAAAGAGTCAAGGATTATTTTGTGATATCATCAAGAAATGGCACTTGATGCTGGAAAACAGCTCTCCCAATTCTACAGTTAGTCCAATAAAAAGATAGTACCAGAAAAAAAATCCTTGTGTCATACATTTCAACTCTACTTTCTGAATAAATTACAGTTTATTTGTTTGAAGAAATCCTGAGAGCACTTGGTTTTCACCTACACACATGCATACACTTTTACTGAGAATGAAATTAATTGCCCATTGAGATTACGGGCAAAACAAATAAATGCTAGCTTGATATATAGACTTTTGCACAATCTCAGCAAATCTACTTATAATGTAATCAAGACTGGACTGGTGGGACTGGGTAGGGGGCAGCCCCTGGGGTCTGGGACACAGCCAATCTTAATGGTCCCATGGATAGACAGGATTGGCCTGGGGGCAGCATGCTGGGCATCCTGACAGCAGTGAACCATCAGAGAGCCAGCCACTCTTCCTCCCTTCCTCTTGGAGCAGGAAGGTAGAGCAGGGGACTGTGGGATACTGTAGATAGCTGGCCAAGAATTAAAATTGTCATGGAACTGCAAAGGAGGGATGACAGTTTTGCAGTGCATCTGCCATTTTTATCCTACAACACACTGCTTTAATATCTTGCCAATCATAGCATGCTGCAGGAAACTCATATATAGACCACAACAAAAGTAACTTTACATATGCTAAAATAGAAGAAAAGGCATGTAAACAATAGCAAGGAGACAGCATGCCAGATGTTGACTCTAGATGGGCTGTGAGGAAACCCACAAAGAACAAACAGATTATGTAGAAGGTGTTGCATACTGGAAATAAAAGATGAAAAACATGTGGACATTTCCCTCTAGATCTGATATAATAAGAAATCTTGGGGGATAAAACAGGATAAGAGGAATAGGATTTTTTGCTATCTGAGCTTATCTGCTGGAGACAGCCAGCATGGGACAGCTAAATTCATCCTCACTAACCCAGCTCTAAGTATTCTGATCAAATGCATGCAACTAATTATTGTGGGGGTGTGGTCATTAAAAATTATTGTAACACTATATGATATATAGTTAGTACTTTGTTATACTATTTTAGAGCATTCCTTTAAAGTAACTAACTTCTTTGCAAATGCCCAACAGTTTTTGGATTTAATTAAAAAAAACCAAACAAACAACAAAAATTACCAACAAGGTCAAATTTCAACAGTTATCTTGTTTCATGCAGGCACTCAGCATAACAGCTCACTTTTACAGTGTATTACTCTGCTTTTAGACCTTTAACAAATAGATCCAGAACTTGATAGTTGTGCAAGGCTTTGAAGTAGTAAATTCTGGGTAGGCCCTTTAAAACTCAAAACTGTATACCTGGAAGATAACGAATAGCAGATACACACACTTACAGAGTCGTTTCCTTTTAATATCATTCAGCTTTTCTTCCATTTCACGTGCTTGCTATGAGAAAGAAAAGTATTTTATAATGTTAACATTGACAATCATATGAGGTTCAGAGCACTGACAGATACTAATCCAATACACAAAATGAATTAAAAAAACATGAAGAAGGCAGGGTAGGGTGGCATCTCAGACGAGCTTGTTCATAGAAGCACAAGCTTTCATAGGCTACAGCCTGCTCTCTCAGATGCTGTGCCTTCTGCCTGACCTCAGACTTAGCATGGC